TGCGAGTACCCGTTAATAATACCCACAGTGGGTTGGGTCTGGATCAATGTTTTGGACTCGTGTGTAATTGAAACCCGTTATTTTAAGATCTGCTGTTAGATGGGTCTGGGTCCAGATAATGAGGTAGCCAGACCCGTTGATACCCAAATTCGTTATTCTTTATATATATATATATATATATATATATATATTGTAATATCATATTAATCCATAATTATAATATCATATAAATTCATAAATGTGATAGTTATGTTATTAAACTATATTGTTAAACAATGATGTTATGTTGTTATTTCATATGTACGATGTAATGTTATGTTAAGTGAAAACTTACTAAAGTAATTTTACATCCTAATGTTGAAGTTGCTTTTAATGTTTGTTTGAGTAAAATGATTTATGTTTAATAGTCAAATTAAGTTGTATTTAATACTTTAAATTAAGTTTTATAATGTTTTCTCTTATTGATTGTCTAAATAACATATAAGATCATATGAAATAAATACACAAGTGCATAAATTATTTGCAATTATTTTTAATATTTTTTGAATTTTTAGGTATCCATGAATCCGCTGGGTACCCAAGGACCCGCTGGTAGTATACCTAGCGGATATTAGCACGGGTCTAAGTCCTAAAGTGAAGGAATGTGGTGGGTCCGGATAATGGACTACCCCAGATAGAGATGACAATGGGTTTGGGTAGTGCATTACCTAAACCCGCCCCGTTGCATCATTTTGGGACCCAGACTCGTGCTAATACCCGTTGGGTATGCTACTCTCGGGTCCTTGGGTACCAAGCGGATCCATGGGTACCTATAAATTCAAAAATATTAAAAATAATTGCAAGTAATTTATGCAATTGTATATTTGTTTCCGACGATCTTATATGTTATTTTGACAATCAATAAGAGAGAAAAATTATAAAACTTAATTTAAAGTTTTAAACATAACTTAATTTGACTATTGAACACATTCATTTAACTAAAACAAACATTAAAAACAACTACAACATTATGATATAAAATTCATTAAGTGAGAACTCTTTAGTTAACAAAACATTATATCATACATATAAATTAACACTATAATATCAATGCTTAACAACATAATACCACAGCTTAATAACATAACAATTATATTTATTAATTAATATGATATTATAATTATGTATTAATACAATATTACAATATAAATTAACATGATTTTACATGATATATATATGAAGAAATAGCCGATTTGGGTATCAATGGGTCTGGGTATCTCATTACCCGGACCTGAACCCATCTAACAGCGGGTCTTAAATTTGCGGGTCTCAATTACCCACAGGTCCACAACATGGACCAAAACCCGACCCATTTGCGGGTACCCGCAGACCCGGGTACTCATTGTCATCCTTACATCCAAAGCCATTGCCATCCCTAGTTTAAGTGGAGTAGACACCCAAAAGTTTACTTGGATTTTTTGCATTATTCTAGAGTGTTTTTACATTCTGATTTTCTTTTGTTTTATTTTATGTTAATGGTGTATTTTTCTTTTCAATTGCTGAATGCATATCCATGTATATATTAGGTTGAGAGATAGAAAGAAAGATGGACTATGACGAATTGGCTGATGCACATTTCTACTTATTTATGCTGCTCTCTGATCACTTTCGAAGATAAAACTAATATTTATAGCTCAGATTATATATTTTATTGCTCAGTTAATGCTGATTGAATTTCTTTCATCTAGACACGGTTTAAAAGTTTGACTAAAAATAAAAACCTATTTAAAAGTAAACTTTTTTTATTAGGCTTTTAAATAGCTCAATAATTTACCTCTCTTTAAATAAGATAACATGTTGTTTTAAATATGTTTATCTAACACAACAATTGAATTATTTTATAGATATTTTTATTCTAATAGTTCACATATACAGTTTTAGTCAAATTAATACAATGAAATAAAAAAATTGTCCTACAAATGATATCCCATCAGCTTTTAGGTAAGGAACTAATCTTCTTTGGAGTGAGTGAATGTCACTCCCAACAAGTGTCATTCTAAGGAATCGAATCATTGACATTTTAATTATCATAATAATCTAATATGACCTTATACTATTATACCAACATCTTACGAATATTTTCAACTTTTAAAAAACTTTAACCTCACATGTTACAAAAAGCATCTATTTAATTGCGAATTGCATATTTCTTGGTGTCCACTTCTAATGAAGGATACACTGAAATTTGAAGATTAATGGCCTGGGCTAGTTGCAGAACTATGTTAATATATCTCTCCTTTTTTTATGGGATAAAATATATCTATACTTGGATTAGGCGCATTGACGAAGCAGAAGGATTTAATAAATCAAAAAGAGAGCCTTAAAGTGCATCGTTCCTGCGGTCGGTCAATAAATAATAATATTTAAATCAATCTCATCCATTCACCTAAGGAAAATCATATGTTATCTTAAAGTATCTTGTATTATATCGTGAAGCAACAAAAATATGTAACGTGGATTGATTTTTTTTTTAAATATTTATTATTTTTATATTTTTCTTTCACTATGAATGATTTGATACATGGTTTAAGACATACTTTAAAATAATAGATTTTTCCATGTTTTTATAAATACAATTTTATTACATGGTTTGATATAATAAAACATGAAAATATGTAAATAGTACTAGTGTAACAGTTTTTCATATTGTTATTATATAATTCATTTTTGGTTATTATTGACTCTTAAATAAATGTAATTGGAGGATGCAATGATTGTGAATAAATTTTTATACTATCAATTTATAAATATTACACTCATAATAATAAAAAATGGTCATCTATTTTTTTTATTAATAATGGTATAAATGCCGATGAGTTTTTTTAACGAATAAACAAATGTTACTACGATAAACTCTTTTTAAAAGCGTACTGTTTCCCCATATTGGCCTCAGTTAAAATTAGACGATTTTGCTAACAAGGGGACACAATTACACAAACTAAGGAAATCAAAATCATTTTTGTATAGAGTATAAAAATGAAAATTTTTATAGTTATAATGTGTTAAATAGCTTACTTTTATTGTTTATTTAATTATTATCTTTACTTTCTTAACAAATTAAATGTGCAAACAGCACTTATTAGTAAAAAACAGTTAATTAATAACTGTATACAAATGTCTTATACTCTTATCCAACCCGTGAAAAACGTTTTGTACATATGCACCTTAATTTAATTTTTGAAATAACCCTGATCAATGTTGTATAAACTCCAATCATAGAAAGATAGCTACTTCGAAAACAAAGAGAAATTCAATCTATTTATAATACATCTATTATTTTAATTACAATAAATAACATTTTGTTATTAAAAACAAAAATAAAAACTTTCATCTAATACAGGAGATGAGCATTGTTCTAATTAACAATATTCTCCACTCATACTGAGTTATCGGCCAAGGCTAAATCAAACATCGTATTGATTATGATCTCACTCCATTATATATTAATCTATCAAGCGAACTTGAACAACCACAAATTTTTAGACGATAGGGAGTGTAATTTTCTCAGGTAATAAAAACGAGTATTTCAACATGGTTGCCCTCATTGATAAGAATTCAGCCATTTAAGTTGTGAGTTAAAATCCCAAGGTTGAGGTGAGAATCTCGTTAATTGATATCTATAAATATCTCTGTTACCGTTTATGCTTTATAGTATTGTAATACCACTGTTATCCTGACAAGTCACTAATCTAATTTTCTTGTTTAAAAATATACTAAGGTAAATAAAAAACTCAAAGGTATTAGTAAAAGTTGAGATTGGGCTAATCTCGATAAGTGCGCTTGTAAATGTTTTCGTTGAAACAGTGCAAATGTTTAAAGTCGATGCTACTTTTCCTAATTTTAACAAAAATGACTATGTATGAGGCTCTAACTTAAACAATATTTGGGAATAGTAATCTTGTCCCCATAAATTGTTTCCAGAGTTTGATTAGTTGATCTTATAATCACTAAGAATAATTTTATTATCGTGGCAAACTAATCTAAAATTTTAAAGCCAATAGGTCAACTCGTTCACACACAAAATCCTGTCGCAATTTATGATACCTTAGAATTTCAATTTTCAGAGGGCATTTTAAAACGAATGAAATGTCATTTTTGTGTCTCATTTGTATTCTAGACAAATAAAAAATGTCAACTAATTAAAATAGAAAATCATAAAAATACAAAATAATTTTTATATTACTTAGTATAATTTGATTGGTCTGAAACATAAAGACATAAGTTTTTGGATACATGTAATTCTTATTTTTTCACAAGTTACGTTGTTCCCTTCATCAAAAATCTTATGCTACTAATTTTACACGTCACTTGGAGGTAACATAGATCTATGGAACACATGTACGTGTCAAAAAATATTAAGTCAACCAAGCTGACTACTTAAGCATTCATTCTCATCACCGCATGCAAGCTATCTTTAGCTAGAGTTTCTTTTTAAATTTTACAATATTTAGTATATAAATAAGGTATATTCCAAAAAATAAGTTAATCCTGTATAAATAAATGGAACTAGAAAAAATAATATTTAATTTTGTAAAACAAAAATACAAATATTAATATCAATTAAACAAGTCTAATATTTTTCTACTTCAACAAATAAACGTTTCCAAAAAAATCATTCTAGAACAGAGGTTTATTAGCTAGTGTAGGAACACGGATCCTCTCCTAGCGTAGGTGGTAGGCTTTTACCTTTGCTACGTTGCGAAATGGAGTCTCGCAGCTTTGGAGAACAAAACATGTGTGCATTGCATGCATGTAACTGTAAAGTGTTCGTGTCCTACAATGTTGGCTTCCACGTGTCGCATCTTCCATGCAACATGATTAACACATTTCCACCACAGTCTTTAAATAGTGATGGATAGATATAAAACAAAATGTACTCTTATTCACAATGAATGCATGACTGAATCACAATTAATTAATTGTTCTGTCAGGAACTTATAATGTCATTTGTGTTCATTCGTCTTTGTAAAACTTAGAGGAGAGGAGAGACACTGGGAAAAATGAAGTTAGTTTGCCTCTTTGACCAAAGAAAGGTCGAGATCTGTAGTGACTGTAGAAGCAAATTTTGAGGCTCCAATCAGTTTTTTTATTTCATTTTTATAAAATGAAATGATTAAAAATTTATGGAATAGTCGGGAAACTCATAATAACTACTTTCCTTAAACTATAAAATTCTAAAATGTTTAATTCAAAGGAGTTGACTTATAGTGCCGAGAGTAGATTAATGTGATGAGTTATAAAATTTATAACCTGTTTTGAAAAACGTGTATTATTAATAAAGTTGCATGTAATAACCACGTTAGTGTTAAGTTTTATTGTGTAAGTCAATGTATTAAAGAGATTAGAAATGTAATTAGAGAGTTGGTTAATACTTACTATAATTAGTAGGTAGTTTGTATAGTTAGTTACGAGTTGAGTTTGACTTGCTATATAAAGCAACTTGTGCACTGTTTCAGCTTAAGGAAAAATTAATACAGTTTCATTCTTTTCTTCCATACAAACACGTCTTCTTTCTCTCTTTTCTTTTTGCAACTCTATGCAATCATTCTTTCTTTGCTTTGTGTGTGCAAGAATTCCAACAAACTTGGTATCAAGAGCTCGTGAAGATCAAGAACCTGTGTGGTGCGTGAAAGTTGTGCAAGAAGAGTACATCTTGATTCTGATTCATTGCGTGTGAAGTGCTTGAGTAAAGGCAAGAAGGGAGTTGCATTTGAAAGCAAGATTGAAGCAGAAAAGATGGTTGGCAATGGCACAAATCTCCCATTAATGGGACTTCCCATTCTGACAGAGAAGAACTGGCATCGTTGGAAGACCCATATGAAGGTGTTGTTCTCTTTTCAAGAAGTCAATGAGGTAGTGGAAAATGGAGTTCCTACCTTGAATCTTGAAGCCACAAAAACCCAAAGAACAACACATAGGGAAATCAAGAAGAAGGATAACAAGGCTTTGTTTCTCATTCGTCAGTGTGTAGATGACATACACTTTGAGAAAATTCAGAATGCAACCACCTCAAAAGAAGCTTGGGACATTCTCATTAGAAGTCATGCTGGCGGGGAGAAGATAAAGAAGGTGAAACTTTAGACATTGAGAAAGCAATATGAGATGCTAAGAATGTGACAGAATTGGTGAATACTTCATCAAGATTCTCACAATCACAAATCAGATGAAAGGTTATGGTGAATCCATCACTGATTTGATGATAATAGAGAAAGTAATGAGATCTTTGCCTCAGAAGTTTGATTACATAGTTGTTGCAATTGAAGAAGCTAAAGATGTGAATGCAATGAAGATTGAAGTTCTTCAAAGCTCTTTGGAAGCTCATGAGATGAGGTTGCTTGATAGAAATCCTATCAAGAACACTATGCAAGCACTAAAGGCAAGTCACTACAAAGATGAAGATATGAGGAAGGATAAGAAGTGGAGAGGGAAGCCTGGATTCCACAAGAAGTGGACATCAAATTTAGATAGAAAGAATTCAGAAGGTGATTGGCCTGAATCTTCAAATAAAAGAGGAGGGTCAAGTGTGAACAAAAGCAGCAGAGGATATGATAAAAGGAAGGTGGAGTGCTTCAAATGCCATAGACTAGGTCATTACTCCTATGAGTGTCCTAATGACAAGCAGAAGCAAGGCAATAACCAAGAAAGAGAAGCATATATAACACAAGAAGATTCAGACTCAGAACCATTGAATTTGATGGTCACTACTTCTGTAGAAAGCTCAAACACTGAATCTTAGTACCTGGACTCAGGGTGTTCCAACCACATGACAAGGCATAGGGAATGGTTGGTAGATTTTGACTCATCCAAGACAAGCAAGGTCAAATTTGCTGATGATAGTTCACTAAAGGTTGAAGGAATTGGTAATGTAGAGATAACTAGGGAGAATGGCTCAAAATCCATGATATCCAATGTGTTATTGGTACTTGAAATGAAGTGCAACCTTCTCAGCATAGGTCAGCTTATTGAGAAAGGGTTCAGTGTGGTTATGAAGAATGGACAACTTGAACTCTTTGATGTCAAAGATAAGCTGATTCTCAGAAGCAGGGTGACTAGGAATAGGACATTTCAAGTAACCATAAATGCTGCAGAAACACAATGTTTGGCAACAATGAAGATCAGTGATGAAAGCTGATTATGGCACTCAAGATATGGGCACCTTAACTTCAAAAGCCTTCATAAGCTAGGGTCAACACATATGGTTACAAGGATTCCAACCACTATGCTACCAGAAAAGGCTTGTGAAGTATGCTTGATTGACAAGTAGTCCAGGAATTCATTCATATCTGAAATTAGCATGACAGCAAGATCAGTGTAGGAAGTTGTTCACTCAGATGTTTGTGGTCCATTTGAGACACCATATCTTGTTGGGAATAGGTATTTCATAACCTATGTAGATGAGTTGAGTAGAATGATATGGATGAATGTGTTAAAGGCAAAGAGTGATGCCTTTGAGTCATTTTTGCAATTCAAAGTAGCAACATAGAAAGAAAGTGGCAAGCAACTGAAGATTCTTAGAACTGATGGATGAGGAGAATACACCTCTAATCAATTCGAATCCTACTGATTAAAGCATGAGATTAACCATGAAGTTACTGCTCCCTACACTCCTCAACATAATGGTCCATCTGAAAGAAGAAATAAGACCATTATGGATATGGCTAGGAGTTTGATCAAAGAGAAGGGTTTACCACAAAGACTATGGGCTGAGGCTTTAGCAACTTCAGTGTACATCTTAAATAGATGTCCAACCAAGAAGATTGAAGGTAGGGTGCCACTTGAAATCTAGACAGGAAGAAAGCCAAATGTGAGTCACCTCAAGGTCTTTGGCTCACTAGTTTTCAGATACATCCTAGACCAGAAGAGAACCAAGTTTCAAGATAAGAGTGAAGTTATGATCCTCATAGGGTATCACTCTACTGGATCCTAAAGACTTTTTGATCCAGTTAAGGAGAAATTTTTGATCAGCAGAGATGTTTAGGTGATTGAAAATGAGCAATGGGACTGGAATCATATGAGAACTAGCTTGAATAAGAGAATTCCAGAGCCTTATGATGAAGAATGTGTGGTTTCTCAAGAGTCTATTAAAGAGCATACTCATGAGAACATAATTGAAGAGTCTATTGAAGGCTCTACTGAAGCAGTGGCATCTCACAGATCTTAGAGGACAAGATCAATACCAAGCAGATTCAGTGATTTTGAGATTCACTCTGATGATCAAGTCACTGAGGAAGGTGATCTAATACACTTGGCATTGATGACTGAACCAGAACCTATTGATGATTCAGAAGCCATAAAGCAATCAGTGTGGAAAGAAGCTATGGATGAAGAGATCAAATCCATAGAGAAGAACAAGACTTGGTATTTAGTTGAGCTTCCAAGCAACAGACATCAGATTTGTGTCAAGTGGATTTTCAAGCTAAAATTCAACTATGATGGATCTGTCCTAAACAGACATCAGAAGTCTTTGCTCCTGTGGCCAGAATTGAGACAATAAGGTTGGTTGTGGCTATTGCTTGTGCCAAGAAGTGAACTATGTTTCAACTTGATGTCAAGTCAGCATTCCTACATGGTCCACTACAAGAAGAGGTCTATGTGTAACAACCACCCGGGTTTGTGGTGAAAGGCAAGGAGCACTATGTGTACAGGTTGAATAATGCTCTTTATGGCCTGAAGCAGGCTCCAAGAGCCTGGAACAGAAGAATAGATTCCTTCTTGTTTTACCTGAAGTTCAAAAAATTCAATGTTGAGCATTGAGTGTATGTCAAGCATGGTGAATGAGAAGAACTACTAATCATCTGCTTGTATGTTGATGATCTATTAGTAACTGGGACAAATTTGAAGGCAATTGAAGAATTCAAGGTGGTTATGGAAGCTGAATTCGAAATGACTGATATGGGCAGATTAAGCTACTTCTTTGGCATGGAATTCACATATACTCCCTCTGGTCTGATAATGCATCAAAAGAAGTACATCAAGGAAGTGATGAAGAGGTTTAACATGGCTACTTGCAATCCCATATCCACCCTTACTGCAACAAATGTGAAATTGTCTATAGATGAAGGAGGTGATGTAGTATATGACACAAGATTCAAGCAATTAGTTGGCTGCTTGAGGTTTCTGTGCAATAGCAGGCCACACATATGTCATGGAGTTGGCTTGGTGAGTAGGTTTATGTGCAATCCAAAGAAATCCCATATGCTAGTAGCCAAGAGATTGCTAAGATACATACAAGGCACATCTGATTTTGGCATTTTATTTCCTAGAGGTGAGCAAAAATCAGAACTAGAACTTATTGGTTTTTCTGACTCAGATTATGGTGGAGATGTGATTGAGAGAAAGAGCACATCTGACTACTTATTCCTATTGAACAAAGCACCAATCTCATGGAGCTCAAAGCTGCAACAAGTGGTTGCTTTATCAAGCTGTGAAGCAGAATATATATCTGGTTGTCTTGCAGCCTGTCAAGCAAAATGGTTAGAGGAGCTGCTATGTGAGTTGAAGATCAAAGTGAGAACACCATTGTAGCTTAGGATAGACAACATTTCAGCAATAAGTCTATCAAGGAATCCAGTGAGCCTTGGAAGAAGCAAACATATTGAAGTAATGTTTCATTTCCTTAGAGATAGGGTGAATAAAGGGAAGCTTGAAGTGGTTCATTGCAAGACTGAATGACAAATGGTTGATGCATTTACAAAGGCATTAAAGGTTGAAAGATTTGAAGAGCTTAGGAAGATAATGGGTGTAGTATCTCTTAAATACTTGAATTAGAAGAGGATGTTGAGTTTTATTGTGTAACTCAAAGTATTAAAGAGATTAGGAATGTAATTAGAGGGTTGGTTAATACTTACTATAATTAGTAGGTAGTTTATATAGTTAGTTAGGAGTTGAGTTTGACTTGCTATATAAAGCAACTTGTGCACTGTTTCAGCTTAAGGAAAAATTAATACAGTTCCATTCTTTTCTTCCATACAAACATGTCTTCTTTCTCTCTTTTCTTTTAGCAACTCTCTGCAATCATTCTTTCTTTGCTTTGTGTGTGCAAGAATTCCAACAGTTAGCAGTTTGAATTATCAACATCGTACATTCAGAACTCCACATCAACTATAAATATGTCATGATATCTATGTAGCAGTCTATTTTAGTTAGATATAGAAAATAGGAACTAATAACATGTTTGGTATTAGAAAGTAGGAAGTAATAACATGTTTGGTATTAGTTCATCATGGAAATTTAAGGGTTTATAATTTATTTTGATACATAAGGGCTTATGATTTGATGAAACCATAAACTAACGTCTTGAAGTTGTAGGTTTGGATAGATGTCAAATATACTAATCTTATTCTAATTTATTGCTTGACCTATTGTTTATAAATCCCTCGTACGAAGTTTATTCTTTATTTACAAAAGAAAGTGGGGTTAATTTTAGGACAATCGGTTATTTTGTATTTGTGTGTTTTAGGAGTAATATTTATTTTAATAATGACCCTTTTGATTTCTTATTAAAAATTAATATTATTTGAAATATACCAAATATATAAAGAGTAATACAAGGAAGTGTGAAATGTTAGGTAAATTCGAATCAGTTCATAAAACATTCCGAAGAATTAGTTACCCATTTAGAATAAATCATAGTAATAATGTATCTTCTGATACAATGAGATAAGTTATATCCTCCAACTACTAAAATTATGACATATGTATCATTTAATTATTTTCTATAAAAATATTTCTAAAACTAAACAATACACATGTCATTCTTTTACTGACAGAAAGAAGCTAAGTTATCTCCTAGTATGAGGAGATACATTATTCTCATAAATCATTATATCATTCTTTTCTCATTAATCCTTAGTTAAGATAGTGCATTTGCTGTTTCTACAATTTAATATACATACCACTTATATAATTGAATATGACATCATTTTTAGCTAGTCCAATATATACCATATTGTTGTTAACTAAATCATATACTAAAACTTTTGGTTAAATTCAAGCAGGTTAGAGCATCTCCAGCGAATAAAATATTCATTCTTATTTAAATCTCATATATTATTTTATAATTTATTACAACTCCCCATGAAATAATAACATTATCTACTTTTTTTACAAAATGACAAATATTATTCTTATTCTTATATAGGTCTCACAACCTATCATATTCTTAAATCTTAATCAAACATATACTATTTTTATTCTCTCTCATTATTCTTATTTAAGAACAGAATTCATAAAATAAGAATATCATGTTGAAAACAAAGTACAAATGTTCTTATTTTATTAATTACAACCTTAAGATCAATGACAATGTGATGATCTTATACCTTTATTACTTGGAAAATGGTGCATATATTATAATGACCCCTTTTGATATTATGGGTTTATTTGATTTGGCTAAAGTCAAGTCATCATGATTCTGGTTTCAAGCATTCGGTTCTTGTAAGACGTTTCCAAACTGAAAAAAAAAAAATCATTTTCATTTGAAAATTATTACCAAGCGCCAATATTTCAAAAAGAAAAAGGAAAGTAGTCACTCACCACTACTATCAATAGATGGTTAAAGATTCCTTTCATGACAACAACTATAAGTTCTTTATATATGTATATGATTATGGGTCATATTCAATGCATCAGTTAAGAAATATATTTGAGAAAAACTTGCTTTGAATACCAGGTCTATTAATTATAGATATAGTGAAAAAAACGCCACTTCTATATACTATATAACAAAATAAAGTTCTTCTTGTCACATGTTATCTCCTCGTCACTTCTTTTCTCTCTTAAAGTGTTCTATACTATTACTATGTACCTTCCCACACTACATGCTCACTTTTTCTACATTTTATATTTTAATAATTTAAATGTTAATTAATGTTTGGTTCTTATGTTTTGTTTTGTGAAAAAAGTACCAACTATTGAACATTAGAAGAGATTGAAATCTTTTTTCACATCAACCTATTTTTTTTATGTTTCTCATTTCCTTTCATTTCTACCCTTACCCCTTCATCTATCCCCTACATCTTCATTTCCCTCATACTGATACGTTTCGTTCGCAAGATTTACTTTGTCATCATTACAAAATATATGTTTTTCTTTTTCTCTTTAAACAACATTTCTCTTCAACAATCTTTCCCTTCCAACTATATTTTTTTTACTTTTTCATTGATTTCTTTATTTTTTATTAGTGTTCTTAGTGATTTCATTATTTTTTAGATCTGTTCTTCCAACGGTTCTCTCCATTAGCCTTTGATAAGCAAGAGTATCATCCTAAAGGACGACCAAACCTTCAAAACATGTGGTGCGTACTCAATCTCATTATATATATATACATTCAGTTGCAATATTTCATATGTTTGTTTTTATTATTGATATATTTATTCCAACAATCTTTCCCTTCCAACTATTTTTTGTTTAATTTTTATACATAGAAGCACTAATTTAATTTTTTGTTTTGCATGTTTCAGAAACACCTGAAATATATAATACTCTGAAACAAGGTATATATCATGGTCATTTATTTACGGTTTTGTATTTTATTTTTTTATTCAATGATTTTAAAAATCTATTGTTTAAATATATATTTGTTGCTTATGTTACCACAGTCATTTGGGTCCATTGATAAGGGTAGAACCAATGGATTCAATGATCTTATCTTTTCTTTGGCATTTTAGTTATCTTTGACAATTTTTTGTATCGTTTTGTATGATATAATTAAAAAAAAAATGTCATAAATTCTAACTTTTCTTTTTCTTTTCTTTTTACATCTATATGTACTAAAATAGTTATAAATTCAAACATTTCATTTTTACGTTTCATGTATAACAAATGTGTAGTCAAATGCTCATGAAGTATTTAATTATAATGTGTAGTCAAATGTGTAACAAAAATAAAGATATTTCGTTTTCAAATATAATTTCCTTATATTATTACAATTGCTCGTAATTCTTAACCTAGGTGAATGAATATCACATTAGAGATAACCTTTATTTTGAAAAATTAATGCCTAAAATGTGTGATATTAATTAATATATTATTTTAGTGGTTGTAATCCAAAAAATTAATGTCTACTTTATTTTGAAAAAAAATCTAAACATTGAATTATAACATCCTCATTTTAATTTCATTTATTACATTTGTTCATACATTTAAATAGCGCTGATCGCTGATCATTTATTACTATTGATTTTTAACGTTCATACATTTTAATTTCATTTATTAATACTTTAATTACTCATCAGTTGCAAACTTATAATTAATAATTAATAATTACTTTGAATGAATACTGCCGATCATTAGTAAAGAAATAAAACTGATAAACATGTCTAAGGGAATAAAAACAAATATTGTCATTTAATGTGATGCTTATTGGTGAGATCGGCAATGCTATTCAAGTTAAAAATCTAAAAATTTAGTTAAATTGTTATCATTTTCATTTATTAATATTGTACATACATTTTTATTATTATCTTTAAAATATTTTAGTATATTTAATCCTAAATAATTAAGGTTTCCATTATTTTGAAAAAGAATCAAATTAAGTAATTACAACTATCATATTTCAATTATCATTTATTACTAAAATTTCATTTCTATATATTAAAATATTATTTTCGAAGTTTTCATACTAAATGGTTAAACCCATATTTATTTCAAAAAAAAATCTAATTATAATTACAATGTCCCATTTTTTATAATTTAAAAAAATACTAAATAATAAGCTAATTACACATGTAATAAAAAATAATATCCTAGAAATAAAAGAAATTATAAACAAGTTACATTAAGAAATAATAACAATAATATCATAAAATTAAACAATTTCTCCATATGTACGTGTATATTAAAAATTAACAATATAAGTTTTTATTGTATTTATTAGTTACTCAAATATATAGATTATAGAATATGAAAATCAATAAAAAAAAGTACAAAAATATACGGATAACATGTATGTTTTGAGCAGTGAGAATGTATGGATAACATGTGTGTTTTTAACTATATGATTACACTGATCACATGCGTTCTTAACAATACGAATAAAATGTAACATGTGTGTTTAACCATGCGAATGTACATGTAATGTGTGTTTTTAATCATACGACAAAAATATTATCCCATGCAAATGCACACGTTACTTGCTAGTTTTAAAGATAAAGTTACATCTTTTATTTCCTTAAACAGTTTTGTTAAGTTATTGATTAACGTTTCCCTGCATTTATATATTATGCATATTGCGATGCAGCTTCCCATGTGATGAACACACACCAAGTAAATGGTCCCAAGAAGGAACCTTTGTCTACCCGGTCGGTAAAACACACTAAAGTTTAGGGATAGAGATTATTTGTCGGAAGTTAGATGTCTCATCCAATAATATAATGTTATATAATATTTTATTTTTTGTTTCTGCAATGAGAATGAAATGACAAATAAAAATATATTTTTTAATATACATAATATTATATTATTAAGTGTATAATTAGGGATACCAACCTGAAATAGGTGATCTTGATTTAAAGTTTAGACCTGCCAAATAATTTAGTTCGCTTCCACCCATTGGCACTAAATAAATATTATAATCCAATATTTGTCACATAGTAAAAAAAAATATCTCTATATATTTGGTTTATCTCAGAAATCAACATCAGATAAAATTCAGTATAGCTTGACACAATAATGACTAGGATTTTTTTTATCAATAGCGAATTTGTGAAGCCAATAAGCAGATTCTGCTACTAAGCGGGGCTATCTAAGACAAAGGGAAATTAATTAACACGTGGTACGTAGGTGATTAGAACAACCAAGAACAATATATATCATATTTAATTATCAACATATATCTCAAGCCAACTTTCCATATGGTTCCACGAAGTCTTCAACATGGGATTTGTATGCAAAAGTTAGGCAGCAAAATCTGTGGACCATTTCTCTGTAATGTTGTTGCCCTAATCAGCCTAGCAAGGCCCTACCATCATATTTTAGACTTTGGAGCTTAGCATATTCTTTGCTTTTGAATTTTGATGTATATAAAAGGAACTGATTACGGTGCTTGATGTGACTCTAAGAAACAAAAGAAAAAAGAAAAAGTTCACTAGATACTTATTTTCATATAATGGCGAATTCTTGATCCTGCATGTATGGTTGTCATCTTAACCACAGACAAAGCTGCCAGAAAGCTTTTAATTCAGAAAGTAATTAAGCATATGATATAAGTTCATAATATTTTCATGCACATGAGTAGCACTGGCTTTAAATCTGGTGTTAAAATAACTGAGATTTTGTATGTGATAATTGATTAACTCTTACAGAATTATAACAATTTCAATATTCGTATAACCAATTAACCATAGTGTTAATCAATTATCACATGCAAAATTATTTTAGTCTCCCCAATATTATATCACTATCACAATTTTGACGGGTGACCCCCCTTTTTCTGTAATTATATTGCTTTTTGCAAATTAAGCTCAATTGTCAATATATAGCTGCCAAGGGTACAACTTCCACTTGTAAAGAATTCAGAGCACATGTTCATTTATGAACCACACACATGCGCATCAACAAAACTTTAGAGAGCTGTCTGAAGCATGTTTCATGTGATTTAGGCTTTGTTTGGTTTAACGGAAGAAAATGGGTTGAGAGAAAGATGTGAGAAAGATAATGTGAAGAAAGAAAGAAGTGAGAAATAGAGAGAATTTTTGTATTGTTTGGTAGGAGAGAAAGAAGAAAGAAAAACTTGAGAAAAGTATGATTTATTCTCTCTCTTCCTTCTCCTCTCACTTTCTCCTCACAAATGGAGAGAAAAAATTTATGTGGGACCCATTTACTTTTTACTCTCTCCCTTCTTTTTCTCCTCTCAACCAAAGGAAAGAAAAATCAATTTTTTCTTTAACTTCTCTCTTCCCTAAGTCTCTTCTACCAAAGGCTTAATGTTACTGATGTTAAATTAATAAACTGATAAATACACATCAAACAATTACCAAATGTTTACTTTGTCTGATAGAATAAAGAAACCAGTAGCACAGCTAGTCGATATATAACATTTTGTTACATTGAGTTGCATATTTTATGCAGCATTAACTGATTTACGGATATAATGACAGAATTAACCAAATACAAGTAGTAGACTAATATAAACATTTGATTATTTTGTTCTTGCAAATTTTTGCTAATAAAGGGCACATGCAAAACAATCATTGTACCATCATACAGTCATGGTGAGAAAGATACATCTTTACATTGCACATTTCCCTGAATTGAAAGATTTTCATGTCTAAACTCTCATGGTTATACAGAAGATAAATGTAATTTTTGAACTTATACTGAGAAGAAATTCAAATTGATGCAGACAGTAAGTTTCCAGCATGAATTCAGAATGTTTTTTTTTTTTTTTTTTTTTTGTAGAAAATGATTAAAAAAACACATATCATAATTCTAGTGGCCGAAGAAGATAACATATCTCCTCATACAATTGAGATATTTTATACTCTAAAGTAAAATATATACTTTAAATCTTTTATTTCTTTTGGTCTTTGAAATGACTGCTTACTCAATTTCAGGTTGAAGAAGATTGTAGTTAGATAAAATTGTTTCTAAATTGATGATTCCTAATTAGATCTAGTTAAAAAAACAGAAAACAAATATATAGTTAGATATTATTCTTTTTTAAATAAAAAATCAAATATGGGATAGAATTCTCTACTATTATTTCTGCAATATATTTTTAGATGCCGATACAAAATAAAAAGATACACTAGTAGAGAGAGAAATGGCAGAAGAATGTTTAAGGAGAAAGGAATGGTAGTGAGAGCAAGTATACCCCTATGGACCCCCCTTGGCTTCATCACCATGTTAGGAAATGTAGAACCACAAATATTTAGGTTGAAATCCTGTTGCTACTAGATCCAACATACCATTCTGCATGTAACTGAATAAATGTTTGAAAAGCATATGCACTATACTTCTCTTAATTAATAAGGTAGTTAAAGTAGTCATGGACTAAACATCATGTTATGTTTGGAGCCTATGAAATTAAAATGATATATTTGATCTCCTTTTGTTGGAGACTTGGAGTATCTAATATTTTGTACCTACTGATTGATTCCAAATCATATTGGTTGATATTTTACTTCAAATTTAGCCTATCTAGTTGTGCAAATGTTTTTAAACAAAAAGAAAATGCCACTCTGAAAACTTCGAATTTTTTTACATTCTAACCTAAGAGGGCAAGTTTAAGGCAATGGTAAAGTTGCATAAATTCTAATTATGTGATCACATTTTCATATCCTAGAAATAACTTTTTTGATTATAAAAGTAATGTTGCATACATTTATTCTCTCTATACCATACTAAGTGAGAATGTGGTTGAGTAGTGAACCACATTTTTTATAATCATTCTAACACATAAAGCCATGGTATAGGAAGATCTACAACATGTTTGAATTTGATACAAGTTGTTAGATTGAGAATGAGGATTTTCTGTCCATAAGCCTATCCCAATTCCTTGTCCCAACCA